CATACTACACATCTCATGTACAAGATTATTGTCTTTTTCATTTGCTCTGGGCCAACTCACTTAAATAAAAAATAAATTAATGTAATTTGATTTTTTTTAAAAGCCGTATAACTTGCTATGATCCCAGGTTTTGAACAGGTGTGATACTGGTGTGTGACCACAGTGTGCACATCTGATGTTGCTCATAGTGGTCCTCAGTGCGATCAGAGAGCTTGTGTGTTTGCCCAACATGAAAAATTAGAGGGAACGTTGCTTGCAGTGTTCAGAACACTGACAGAAGCGGAGTGTTTACAAATGTAGGAAAACGTAAATATTTAATACCCCATCAAAATACACCAAAATGCAGGAAATCGCATTTACTTTATTAAAAATGTTCAGGGGGAGGACCCCCAGACTCCACCCCCGACCCCACCCGCTATCTACATTCCGGCATGGATCTGTTTACAAATTAAGCCCTGCCTAGAACACCTTGCAAAAAGATCTGAAGCTCTTGACCTTGGGACTTCAAACATCTGCAAAGTTCATGGCAAAAACCAGTGCAGACATGTTCCTGTTTTTAGTATTTTACATGTCTTTATAATGTAGCTGTTTTTGTTTTTATTTCATTTCTTCTTTTTACGTTTTTCATTTTACATGCTTTTTATTTGACTGTCTACTGTTGTCTGTACCTCACCCGTGTTCTTTGTTTAAAACAGGTCTCAGCTGAAAACGAGTCCTCGTGGCTCAACGAGACTAACCTGTAGACGTAAAGATTGAATGAAAAAACATCCAGAGCCTTAAGGAGACCAGGGCAAATCTCATCCACCCCCGGAGTCTTTTAACTATCTCGATGACCTCAGCCATGGTTATGGACAGACCAACCCCGAAGTCCCCTGACTCTGCTTCCTCCATGGAGGATGTACTGGTGGGACTGAGAAGGTCCGAGAAGTATTGCTTCCACCTCCCGACGACATCACTGGTTGAGGTCAACAGCACTCCACCTTCACTGAACACAGTGTTAGTAAAGAGCTGTTTTACTTCTGCAGACACCTGATGGTTTGTCAGAATCTCCTTGGAGCTGACTGAGAGTCTCTATCCAGGGTCTCACCAAACTCCTCCCACATCCGAGCTTTTGCCTCAGCAACAGTCAAGGCTGCAGACTGCTTGGCCCTCCGGTACTCCTCAGCTGCCTCCAGAGTCCCACCAGCCAACAAGGCCTGATAGGACTCCTTCTTCTGCTTGCCAACCTCCCTAACTCGGAGTGTCCACCACCGAGTTCGAGGATAGCCACCACAAGAAGCAACGACAACCCTGCAGCCACAGCTCAGTGATTGGTGACATTTATGTTATGCATATGTTGCTTACATGACTTTATTACACAAATTAAGGTTCATCTCTGCAGCACGGTGGTTCAGTTGGTAGAGCTGTTGCCTCTCGGCAACAAGGTCACCAGATTGAAGTTGCGATGGGAGTTTCAAATCACTAAAGTAGAATCAAGCTGCCAGATAGAACCTGAACCTAATGCTCTTGATGCCCAAGCAGAGATTCAAATTTTGTTGTCTACTCTATCAAATGTGTCCATCAGGTCTAAAATCACAAGAACCATCAAAGCGCCAGTCAGTACTTAAAAATATATCCATCCATCCATCCATTTTCTTTACCCGCTTATTCCATTTTGGGTCACGGGGGTCGCTGGTGCCCATGTCCAGCAATCACTGTGCGAGGGGCGGGGTACACCCTGGACAGGTCGCAAGTCCATCACAGGGCCACATAGAGACAAACGAGACAAACAACCATTCACTTTCTCACTCACACCTAGAGGCAATTTAGAGTTACCAATCAGCCTAACATGCATGTTTTTGGTCTGTGGGAGGAAACCGGAGCACCCGGAGAAAACCCACGCATGCACGGAGAGAACATGCAAACTCCACCCAGAAAGGCCCCTGGACCGGGGTTTGAACCAAGGACCTGCTCGCTGAGAGGCAGCAGCTCTACCAGTTGCGCCACCGTGCTGCCCGCTTAAAAATATATCATTAAAATGTATTTTTTAAATAAAATAAACCTAAGATTTTTAGGACAGTAGACCCAGTGCTGTGATGGTGATCAAACTGTTCCAAGAACTCCACAGTTCACCACAGATTATTCAGTCAAGTTTTGTTTTCTTCTTCTTTCTTAAGCAACATCAGTTTAGCAATGGTCTGAAAGTACACAAGTATTAAAGGTCAAAAATGGGCTTTCCCATCAGTGGTTGCACGACTGCTTTCTGTTCTGGAGCAACAGTGTTAGGAACTGCAAGGATAGACGGTCCCAGAGGAAAAGATCCTGACAGTCAAGTAGGGACAGGGTCACTGGGGGAGGACTTCATCTGACCAGCCATGCTCTGCAGAAAGATCAGGTCACTGGCTCGCTCAAAGGCAGAAACGAGCGATGATGTGCAGAAGGCAGATTAAAACAGACTTTACTGGACAAACTGGATGCAAACACAGGACAGAAACTGGTCATGGAGGCCCCAGAGAGGCAGACTGCAGCTGTAAAGGAGTTTCTGTTAAGTCCTGCTTGTGTTCTTCATTTGTGATATTTCCTTACAAAGAAAAACATCAGGTCAGGCTAAATACTGAAAAACATTTATCAGCTCAGTTAAAAACCTGTGGGAGACTCTGGTCGGGTGAACCTGAAGTAGAACTTTGTGCACACAGATCCAGAACATCTGATCTGATGAATAAGCCGAAGAACCCCAGGCCCACAGATGATGGGGGCAGCATCATGTTGTGGGTTGTCTTCAGCTGGAACAGCAGCTTTATGAAAGATGGATGGAATGACAAAAGATCAAAATACCTGTTTATATTGGCCTAAAATCATTGTTGTTGTCAAAATAAAGTGTGGACTGTTCTAGTCAGTCTACCCAGGTGAAAATGAAATATACTTGAGGATACTGAAATTTAATGATTTAACATGATACAGTTTTGAGTCACTGGTCAGATGATATAAACAAATGCATGTACCCTCTCTGCATATTATGTAGTTTCTACACAATACAATTACATTTAAGTTTAAAACATGGGGCAGTTGTGTTAAATACACCCGAAATGCTTTCATAAATCAAAGAGATAGTACAAAAAAAATTACTAAAGTACAATTTGGAACATTAGTAACATAAACATTTTCAAATACGTATTTTTTTATTCAATTAATTGCTGAAAAGTATTGGATACATATATTTGTAATATATTTTTAAAGTTTGAAAACAAAATTTTACAAATGCATTCAAAGTGCATTTAAAAAAAAAGTTTATATGAAGTTTAATCTTATAAATATATTTGATTGAAATGTTATATTTTGCCAAAAATCATAAAGTGTAACAAAATACATTTTATAACAATGTACTTGAAGCATATTTAGATAAATCTATTTATTTTACATTTTCGATGTGATCCTAATAAGTACATTTACTTGAGAACATATTTTAATGTATTTCTTGAAAATTAAACCTACTTGAAATATACTTACGTACATTAAATTTTCACCAGGGTAGACCAGGGGTCTGCAGCCTTTTTGATCAAAAGAGCCGTTTCTGCCTCTTCGCTCGTTAAATAAAATGTGTCTGGAGCCACAAAACCTGCTACAGTCGTGATTATCAACTGATGGCTCATGGGCAGCTGAGCTTGTTGGAGGCAGGCTTTTCTGGCCAGTGGGGGTGACATTATAAAACTTAAATTAGATAATGAATTTGAACATTTATTGGCATTTTTACATTTCAAGACAAAAAAAGCCCATATCATGTAAAGAAGGAAAATAATTATAGTTTATACATATTTTGATAAATAATTAAAACACTGAACTCTGCAGGCCTAAGTGAGGAATAATAAATATCGGGCAGGGCTGTGGCAGCTCGGCCAGTATACGGTCTTGCAATCCTGAGGTTGCGGGTTTGAGCCCAGGTTGTGTCAGGAAGGGCATCTGTTGTAAAACAAACTGCCAAATCTTTCTTGTGAGTTGTGACCCTGAAGAAGGGAGCGGCCAAAAGAAACTTATCGTTACTTCAACACTTTCCTGCAGGATCAATAAAGTTCTTATCTTTCTAGCAGCTATCGGGCAAAGATTTACTCAAATTTGACAATAAAACTGTCAAAACTAGCCTTTTCTTTTGTGGGTATAAAAATCAAAACAGTGAAATTTCATTAAGTTTTAGGTCAAAGCTTCAAAGAGCCACTGACGAGGGACTAAAGAACCATATGTGGCCCCAGAGCCACAGGTTGCGGACACCTGGTCTAGACCCAAGTATTTCTCTTTCACAATTTGGCAAATGTTTTACACCGTTCTGGGTCTTGCAAGGGCCCAGAGTGGGGCAAATGAGGAATTTGAACTTTCTGTAAGTTTGTTGATTTGAACCGATGACCTTCCATCCACAGGCTCCCCTTCTTTAACCTCTGCTCCACCGCTCCAGGCCTGGACCCAGCTATGACAAACTATCTGTAGTGACCTGTGCACAGCAGGAACCCTCACAAACTAAGAGTTTGAACCTTCTGCAAGGAAATAAGTGTAAAGTGTGTCCTGCTGATAGAAATCACCCCCCCACACACACACTTGAGTTGTACCTGAAGGATGTAACAGTAAAATATGTCGTTTTGAAAAGACTCATCATGGTTTCATAATGAACATAAAACCTGACATTAACTAGTGCGACTAGACTATGGTTGAATAATTTTCCTTTTTAATGGGACACTGAAACAAACTGCACCATGACGACAGCGGCAATGAACAAATGTGCAGACTGGTATCAAATGGTTTTAATGGGACACTTTCCAGTTGTTCGCCACTAGTGAACTCCTTTACATTCAATCCTCACACATCAACAGTCAGCATGAACTCTCAGCCAGGGGTGAGGAGTCTGAAGCTGCATTATATAAGAAAATAAGTGTCCGGTCCTTGATCAGCTACAGAACAGGTGTGTCAATAATTCCAACGGGCCACAGACGAGCCAGAAAATGCAGAGTTGACTGAAAATGGCTTCTGCACAGTCATTGGAGTCATCATACCATTTATTTAGCCTATCTCATTTAAGTTACAGAAAGACACATTGTTACAAAGAACATTTACTGACGAGGATAAATGTGGCAGATGCTGGCCGGTCTGACTCGAACGCAACTGGTTTGTTTCTGCTGACGAACGCTCCCGGTCCATCCTCTGCCAGGAACGGGACAAGTCGCTCAACTTTAGTTACATTTGACAAATCCTTGGAGACTTTCTAAGAACTTGATGTACTCTTGATGCTCGATGGCGGTGCTCAGCTCGGAGAGCTCGTCAGCAAAGGTGTTGTCGACGCCGCGGTCGGCCAAGAAGTCCATCAGGTGGTCGTAGAGCGCCTGAGGAGAAGCACGGGGTTCACTAACCGTTTGCTCCTCTTTTAAACCCTGCATTGAGTTTCAGCTCTTACCCAGTCCAGAGAGTCTGTGCTGAGCGTGTAGCTGGTCTCCTTCCAGTCGAGGTCCCCCTCTGGCTGGAAACTGACCTCCCGAATGTTGAAGATGTCGCTCTCCTCCTCGCCTTCATCGTGACTTATCTGCAACACGTAAATCCAGCCGTTTACCTGAAACCCTCGGAGCGCTGAAAGCTCCTAATGTTACACGCTCAGATTTTTATTCGTACCTCGTCTTCTGGGAACTGGCAGTCAAACACTAGGGAATGTTTAGCAGCTTGTTTTGTTACTTCAACAACAAAGTTGGGTGTTGATACAATTTCTGGCTGTGAATGGAAAGTATAGTTAATTAATTAGCCATATTTAAATGTTACCATTCACTGTTCTAATTTTCAGATCAACCGACAGGTTAATCTTCTCACGATCAGATCCCAGAGGCTTACCTCCTCCTCTACAGATTTCTGTGTCTTTTCGTGCTCCTCCTCATCCTCCTCAAAGTTAGCAGGAATACTGTTGTTCACGTTGAATGAGACTGTGACTCTGAAAAAAAACACAAGGTGAGCTCATGTGCGCAGAGTAAAATCTATTTTTAGATGCATCACAATATGGAAGACTCTGGAGACTTTCAAATGTCTATTTATTTCTGGAACAATGCTCTCAGGTGCCACTGAGCCTCAGACCATTTTCACATTTTATTCAACTTTTTCGATGCTGAACCCTGAGGATGTGTGTCTGGAAGGAAGAGTTGAAATTATCATCACAATAGTTTTTTTTTGTAATGATTGTAAAATGTTTGATTTGTGCTTATTCTCAGTGATAAACCGTGTTAATCACATTAGCATATTCATGTTTTCAACATCAAGTTAGCATCCATCCATCATGTCGCTTGTTCTGAAGTCAGGGCGTGGGGGCAGCAGCTTGAGCAGGGAGGTCCAGACATCTCTTCCCACAGCCACCTCTTCTGGGAGGACCCAAGGTGTTCCCAGGCCTGGGTCTTCCTTGGGGTCTCTTCCCAGTTGGACATGCCCAAAGCATCACCATGGGGAGGGACCCAGGAAGCATCCTTACTAAATTCCTGATACACCTCAACTGGCTCCTCTGGATGTGGAGGAGCAGCGGGTTCTACTCAGAGTCTCTCCTGGATAAATTAAACTTCTCACCCTGAGAATCCAGCTACCCTGCGGAGAAAACTCATTTCAACTTCCTGTAGCCGCCATCTCATCTCGTTCTTTTGGTCACTACCCAGAGTTCGTGGCCATAGGTGAGGGTAGGAACGTAGACCGACCAGTAAACAGAGCTTTGCCTTCACCACAATGGACCGGCACAGTCTGCAATACTGCAGACGCTGCACCAGTTAAGTTAGCATCTATGCTAATTGCATACGCTACGCAATTAGCATTTAACACCTCATGGTGTTCACCTCACCGCTACGCTAATCTGCAGCCTGTGAACAATAAAGTTTTATGTGTAATTAGGTCTGTAGTTTGGACACGAAGATATATAATTCAGCATTTATGTAAAACACCAATTCAAGCCAATCAAAACACATTGATATTTTATAATCACGTTACAATCCTTTGAAAGGTAACTGAGAGGTACGTAAGCGTTTCGCACCCCTAGTTGTGCATCCCGTCCCGTCGTCTACAACAAACCGTCTCATCCTTACTTTTCTCCAGAAACATGTTTTGAGAGTTTAGCCTCTGTGCCGTTCAGCTCCAGCTCCCATCCCCCTGACATCTTAGGAAGGGTTTGCTTTTTCTGGATCTTCTTCTCCTCTGCGATTTCATCCGACAGGAAGTCACCAAAAGCTTTGTCACCTGAATCAAAAAAAAGTGAGACAGTGAAAATATTCACTTTTAAACAGCAGCACTGGAAAACACGTTTCGAAACGAGTCTTAATAAGGTCATTGACTATCTGGTAAAAAATAAAACAAACGAAAACTAACCATTCGTTTGACAATATTCGCCCATCACCCCTTTTAAATGTACAATGTTTAACCAGTTATTTTTTGTAAAACCTACATCTTTGATGATCACATGCTTCCAAAGTGATTGTTAGTAAGACAAGTTTAACACGGCACGTTAAATTCACTAAAAGCAAGAAAAAGTACCTACGTCATTGCCTATAAAAACTAAAAAGGTCATATTTAAGTAGCCTTCGTTCTTTCAGTCATCTTGCAGCTAACTTGAGCTTATGCTAACAGCTAGCTTGTCTAATAAAAAGATGAGACTTGCCTTCTGTGTGCAGTCCTCCACATCCACACGACACCGACGGAGCCAACACCTTGGAGCTGAACAGTTTGGGTCTGTACCCCGAGGAGGCTCCGTTGTTCATCATCCACAGGGAGCGGGTGAACGGACGAGCCGTGGCCGAGCTCGGGCTGCGCAGTGTCGGACAGCGGAGCGGCAGGGCTCCCGGAGCGGCTGAGGAAAACCGAACAGCGGCTCCAGCCGCCCGGATAATTGACTTCAGCATGACCGTGTAAAAATATAAACACTTTTAACAACAGAATAAGTTAAATCAACGCCGAGGGAAGCCTCTATCTACCCTACAACTTAGTGCCGCTTCTGGAAGATGCAGGAAGCACGTGTGGAAGGACACATTGACCTAGCGTCACTATGACCTCTGAACCGGAAGTAATACGGTAAAAGCGAAAAAATATTACATCAGCCATAAAAATAAAAAATACAAGAAGCGTCAATTTGAACAATATACATCAAGCATAACATCTAATTATAAATATAAAACAATATACATGAATATGTTATAAATTACAATTGTTGACATTTTAAACAGCGCCCCCATGTGGCTTCAATAAGTATAGGTCGTTCTCGGGTTTTACAGGAGTAAACGTTTATTTTAAATGGTCATAAATGGGTTTGTTATCGCCTGTGAGCTAAATGTTTGAAAATGTTGCATTTTATCTAATGCTTCCTTGAATACCTGCTCATTTGAACAAGGTCTTTGTTAAAAAAAAAAAAAAAAAGTTTGACATTTTCTTTCAGTGGGCCTGTTCTGTTTGACATACTTTTCTGGACATGGAAAAGTTACAAACTTTTACTTATATATTTTAATCGTACTCCCAGCAAAATATGAACAACTAGTCAGTGGCTAAAAAGGGCACAACTGTTTCTGCAAACTAGAATTTAAAATGTATTTAAATTAAATTATTTTGGGGGTACTTGACTCATTCTAAAAAAGTTAAGTCTGGTCCTCTGGACATTCAAGAAAACAAAACAAAAAAATGTAGAAACGTTTTGTCTTTCATCTGAAAGACTTCCTCGGTCCGAGGTGCTGTATTCAGCTCAGTCTTATAAAAAGCACATTCTCACAGTGGATCAACCAGTTTGCTGCTGACAACCAGAACCAGCTGCTCTGCAGCAAACTGGTTGATCCACTGTGAGAAGGTGCT